CCCACACACACACGCACACGCACACGCACACGCACACGCACACGCACACGCACACACACACACACACACACACACACACGCTGCGATTCTTGAGCCTTGAGCCCGCTGCCTTTGCTACCATACATCGACTCGCGACCCTGCTCTGATCTGAGCGTCAGGATACAGTGTGATGTTGTCTAAGATGGTCGTCCGACACGAACTCTCGGAAGATTGTCCTTGCTGTGAGGACCGCACTGCAGCTTTGCAGGCGGTGCTGTCCCCAGTTACGACCAGCGAAACAAGTGAAAGGGTACATGTTCTTCTTATGGTCTGGTCAGCTTGCTGTGTTGCAACCATCTGTGGCATTGTTCGCAAATAAAGCTGAACACGGCCAAGCTGTCTCCTCGCAGAGACGTTTGATAGGTTCTCCCCTGTTCCATCCAGACTGCACTGTTATCGTGGCCCGTGGTGCGAAAATCAGTAAACTAGAATGCAGCAGACACGCCATGTGGCTTGCCTCCTCTCGACCTTGAGGCGCAAGCCAGAGCGCAGGACCTCGAGGAAGCTGCCTACAGAACCGACAGAACTGTGTTTCGTCTTGGGCCTTGTTGGTGCCGCCTAGTGCCAGGAGGAGCTTGCGGGCACAGAGGCAGAGCTGGTGAGGGCCCTACCAGTACGGGTTATAGGAGGACTTGCGCTGGTTGATGTGCAGAGATGAGAAGCCAGCGCGACCGCGTGAGCGGTTGCACAAACGACGATGTTCATGTTTGACCATCGACGACGGTCAGAGCCAGAGCCAGCATAGCAAGATATATAATAGCATTTGCAGATGCCAGCGCTATAACGTGTTCCAACATGTCCTCGGAGCTGTGTGCCGGGTCCCTGCAGGCAACAGCCGCCACTGAGCTTCAAAGGCTCGAGAAGGACTCTGCCTCCGATCGCCTGCAAGTCATTTGTAACCTGATGGTAACACAGCTTGGAGATAAGAAATTTGTGCTCTAACACGTGCTGGAAGAGACCAATGCCTTCACAGCATTTGGAGGAGGAAGTGGAGCGAGCCACGGAAATCGAGGATGCCAGGCGGGACTTGACAACAAGGTCAAGCCGGGAACCCAACAACCAAACCGTTCTTGAGGCATGAGGGAGAAGACTAATCCAGAACGGTCCCCGTCCACAGCAGCTTTTCCGCGAACACTCGCCACCTAGAGCCCGTCCTCCACAGCTCACCAGCCCGTCGTTTTTTGACGAACGCTCCCCCTGCAAAGGAAAAAACTAAGCAAGAACCCAACCCCCCCAGCCGTTTTTGGGAAAAAACTGACTTCGCCGCCATTCAAGCTGTGCTGAAGGACTAGTGACTAGGGCAAGTGGCTTGCTCGAGTCGCGTAATTGAGCCTCTGACCTTTATCAAGCATGTGCAGAAATCGACCTGGAGGCAGAAGTTGTCTGAGGTCCAGATGGAGATCGAGACGATGCAGGCCCAGCCCAGGGCCCCCCGTCCTGTGATCGCAGAATCGTCGTGAGCCAGACAGCAAGCTTTGCTTTGGCAAACATGAAGCGCTGCACAAGTGCTGCTGTCAGCACTCCATCGCCGGACACCCATGCATCGCAGGCACGTGCGCAGACTTCCAGGCAGGGCATTTGAGCTGCAAGTCGAGACTCCTGTAGTCCAATGCACTTGCTGTATTTCAAGACGGGTATGTCTAAGCCTAAGCTCGCTGGTGAAGGGGTTGCACACGACTGCCTGCAAAGTTTTGCTCAAGATCAACACACGCTGTTGTCGATTTTCTCCCGTGCTCGCAGAGTCTCCCGGATGCAGCAACTCCGGCCTTCCAAAAACGTGCAGTCTTGCGTCTGCCCTGTCACAGACTCTGAGACAGCGTGTTGGCACATACTGGCGTTCATCTGGGTTCAGACGAGATGTCGGGTCAAACTCGTTGAAACCGTTCATCCCTTCCCTCTCATATTAAACGGGGGGCCCCCGCTAACTCCCAATTCACAAGTCATAAGGGATGTTTGTTTATCTCTATTTTCCCGTTCGAAATAGGTTTTAAAGGGCGAGAGATGATTTCGGGGTGGGATTTTCCGGAAAGTGTTTTGAGTATTAGGGTGTGTTTAATGAAAAGGGGAAAGGGATTCTTTCTGACGACATGCAAGTTGTCAGCATCCAGCTGAAGGCGAGCTCTTGAAATGTTCGAAAAAGCCGCATCCCTTAGCTTATCCTCTCGAAGGCTCAATCCTCCCATTCACCCAGCTGTGACAGCCGACACTGATCTTTGAACATAGATTTATGACACCCTTGCCAAGCAATATCTGACTACCTCGAACTTTCAGCATGGAAGTGTCGAAAGTCTGGTGTGCTCATATAAACTACGAAGATGTTCTTGTGTTTGTGACCTCGTTTGACTTTGCGTGAGTGCCGTGTGATGCCGACCCTCGACGGAACCCTGAAGCCTGTCCTGAAATCATGAACTCTGTCCGAGATTGTGACTGAGCCTTCCCAAGGGAATCTGCACAGCCTTGCCTAGGTCATGCAATGCAGCACGAACCCGAGCAACTTGAACCCTAAGGCCTACCACCAAGACATGAACTGGTAGCAACGCCGATTTATGACCAAGTTGCTGCTGTCAGACTCGTGGTTGTAGTCATTTTGGACCCTCGCTCAGAAAGCAAGCGTGGACCTGCTTGCGATTGCAACGAAGATGGCCCCGGCCAAATGGTCTACTTTCAACAGCCCGTGCTCTGGACAATCACAACACAGCCAAA